GCCCTCTTTGAAGATGGTTTTAAATGCTTCTGTGACAATTTCTCCTTTTTTATCTTTCAATGGGACAACCCAGCCATATTTGGAGAACAAATCTAACACCACGAGACGATATCTGTTACCCTTGTTCTATTTGCTGAACTGTTGCGTTTCAGCTAGATCTGAGCACCAAATTGTGTCGATACCGTTTGTAATAACGCGCCGCCGAGTAAAGTTGCGCTTTATTGGTTTATGTAATTCGTCCGCTAATTGTTGTTGCCAACTTATACCCGACGGCTTTTTCAGTTTAAACAGAGTCCGAGTTTCTGCTTTGTGTTGATCAGATTTCTAGCTAACCAGTGGCCCCATTCTCTTTCATTATAAGGTATGGCGTCCAACGATTTTACCATTTTTCTATCTGCTTTATTTTTGCACTTCCGGTTATCTGCACAGACACTATAATCAACGTCATGCTGCATGGCTACAGCATCTGTCGGCCAAGTTGGTGGATCATAAATTTCTAATATTTCACCAGTTTCTGGATTGGATGTTACTTGGTTTTCTAAATCATTATATGGACCTGTATACCGATGCCCTGGTAAGGTCCAACCAGCCTTAGTTTTGGTAATTTTCCAATGGCCTTGTGGATATCTATTGCACCTCCGCCAAGATCTTTTCAGTTTGTTTTCTAATTTTTCTTTGGCCATATTTTGGTTGATAATTGGTCAAGAGCTTGAGAACCAACATTCTGAATCATCGGATTTAATTTATCCAAAGCGTAGTATATAGCTTTTTTCTGTAATTTAGGGTTTCTGAGCGCCTCTGAACCGTAATATCTTCCCATTTCAACTGCCTTTTTACCCATCCAAGGAAGCCTATGATGTACAAATAGATCAGTAGCGGTTCCTACAGCGGTGTCAAATAAATCGCCCCCTGCTTGAGAGGGCCCAATCAGTTTCCCTTCTTTAGGTTGAATTTTTTTATTCCGCACTCAGCGCACATGCACCAAAACATAAGTCTACCATTTTTGGCTGTTTTATAGCCCGAAGGCTCTACACATTCTGTTTGTTTTTTCTGTTGGATAGAAGGTGTTTATACGCGATCAATTGCGCTATTTTATCCTGTGGAATAAAAAAGACCTCCCTGTTGAACACCCTTTCCAAATATATTATCCACACCAAGACTGGCTAAGCCGGATAAAGCACCCGTTGCAATAGGTGCAATAGCCTTTTTAGCTAATGGCGTAGCCATAGGTAATAGCCTACTTCCTAAACTTACACAAACTACCACCATGTTTAGTGGCTAAAAAATGCATTCCAACAGCTACCTTATATTGCTCCGTCTTGCCTTGGTAGTTAAATTTGATTTCATGGTAGTCTTTGTCTTTTGTGAATCTGTTACAACATGCTTCTGTGACTCCTCTTCTAGTTTCATTGAAATAACATGTAATATGGTATCTTGGTTTCTTGGGCTGAAATTGATGACTAATTGTTCCTGTACTGAGGAATTTAGTCAACAAGTCGCGTGTTTGCGTATCGTACCTGGATTTTATTCCTTCTATACATGGGCGGATCCAGGATTTTTTTTAGGAGGGGGTGCACTCGTCTCTTGCGCTACTTCAACACCATTAAACCACATAGTTTTTTTTGCAGAATACCAGTTGTATTAGAAACCGCAGGTCATCTCAGGGGGAGGGGGGGTGCGCACCCCCTGCACCCTCCCCCTAGATCCGCCCCTGCTATATACTTCATTTCTATTCTTTCTGGAAACATTTCTTTGATTGTAACTGATTTGAAATAATCGTAGTGTATCTTACTGGGCTTTTCTACTGGGTCACATTGATTAGTATACCCGAACAAGTATACTGACAGTTTATATTTTGTGAATGCTTGGTAGATCTTCCTCATCCATTTATTTGGTGTCATACTAAACTCTTCAATGAATACTGTTCTGTCTTCGAGATTAGATATATTGCGTCCATAATAATCGCAAAAAAATCGATCGAATGTATAGCACATCAGTTCTAACCCCGTTTCTGGATACTGCTCTCTGAATACCCTTTTTACGTTCTCGATGGTTTTATTCGTAAATGACAGGATTAATGGATTTGTTGCTTTAGTTGCCATTTCACAGAGTTTGAATGTTTTGCCACCACCAGCACCACCATAATATATTATACCATTGCCTTTATAATCTGTATTATACTACAAGATGAAAAATTACTGCAATTTGATTGGCTTAGAGTAGTGGTATTTCAGCTTAATTTGAAATACCTACATGTGAAAATTACAAACCTTTTGCGGGTAGTAGTATAAACAAATAATAGCATGATTTGTACGTTATATTTGGCATAAATACCACTCGTGATATTTCAAAATTGTCTCAAATTTCGCTCGCCTAGCGGCTCGTGAAATTACGTATAACAATTTCTAAGTATCACTCGTGGTATTCAGGGGCGGATCCAGGATTTTTTTTAGGAGGGGTGCACTCGTCTCTTTCTCGACTTCAACGCTAATAAACCACATAGTTTTTTTTGCAGAATACCAGTTGTATTAGAAACCGCAGGTCATCTCAGGGGGAGGGGGGGTGCGCACCCCCCGCACCCTCCCCCTAGATCCGCCCCTGGTATATATGCCAAATATCACTACAAATAATGCTATTACCTATACTAATTATCTATATCAATGTTTTCCCTGTAATGTTTCTCGAAACAAGTTGCTAGACTATCTTTAATAAATGTTTGACCAACATGTGATACATCAAATTCTACATCTTTCTTGTTTTGATATTTGTGTAATCGTTTTGCGTTTCTCATGAATATACCATCTGTGTTGATTGCATACACTGCGCTTATAATATTTCCATCACTATTGTGACTACAATTTTTAGCCAAAAGATTCAGACATTTCAATATAGCCCCTGAAATAACAAAACGGTTGATTGATGTATTGTCAGAAATTATACGCTTAATTTGACGCTCTCTGATTGAAAAGGGTTGTTACATAACATAAACATAAAACTTTATTTAAACTCGAATTTTAGGGTAGCTAACAAGCTAATATCTTCGAGCTGACACTACATAAAAACTATATAGAAAATATATATATACATTAAATGCAAGGAAAGAAAATATCATTTACAATTCACAATTTTAAGTTTAAGTATGTCAGGCAAAAAGAATCTACATGAAGGTAACATCCTGTATTTTAGTCTTAAAGTCTGCAAAAAAACTGGTACGAAAAAAGTCCGGCAGTGCATTCCACTGCTTAGCTGAAAAGTAAGAAAAGGAGTTAAGACCATAAGTAGTTGTTTTAGGTTTACTTAGTGAAAGAATGTAGTTGCCACGAAGATCATAGGAAGAGGACCGGAGTGAAAACATATTCTTCATATAAGTAGGAAAATGAGTGAAAAACATTGTATATTGTTGCTTGGTATTTGGATTCTGATAACTGTCTATAGTAACATCTCGATT